CCCCAGGGCAAGGGTGGGGGTGAGGTTGATGTGTGTGTGTGTGTGGGGGGGGGGTCGTCAGATTAGGGGCGGCATGCAGGGCTCATGTCACACATATTTGAAGGGGCGCCGAGGGGGCAAGGGGGGCTTGGGGCTGGATTCTGCAGGGCTGGTCCGTTGTATTTGTCGTACACAACGGATTGCGCCCCCAGAAAGCCAAGCACGGCGGCGCTTGGAGCGTTGGCCAAGCGTTTTCCCTGCAGTTGCGTCGGCACATCGAGCCTCGTCTCTGCACCTTCCGAACACTCTGCTCTGCAAGCAGCACAGCATACATGCTTCCAGCGCCTCTTTATGCCCCTCACCCACCCGGCTGTCTGTACAATCTCCACACACTCACGCACGCACGCATACAAACTCACACGCACACGAACACACATACTTACACCCACATACATACACCCACGTACACACACACACACACCACCTCCACCACGCCCAGGTCCAGTTCCTGGATTACGTGGCCGGCCCCCTGTGGGAGCGTCTGGCCCAGGCCTTCCCAACCCTGCAGCCCTGCATAGCGCAGATGAGGTACAACCGCCGCCGCTTCCTGGAGATCGCAAACGGCGGCCAGGCGCCCTGCACGCCCGCCCCCGCCGCGGCGGCCGCCGCGGGCGCAGGGGCGCCGCCGGCGCTGCGGCCGCGGGTGAGCGCGGGGTCGGGGGCCCTGGAGCCGACACCCGAGGAGGCGGCGCCGCCGGTCGACACTCAGGCGGGCGACGCCGCCGCTGGCGGCGGCGGCAACGATGACGAGGCGCCGCCGCCCGCCGAGCTCGACGCGGGTTTGCCCGGGCCGTCGTCAGGGCCGGTGTCGGTGTCGGCGTCGGGGGCGGACTCTGGTTATGCCTCGCCGCGCGAGGTCGGGGCGGCGGCTGCGACAGCGGCGGCAGCGGCCGCGGCGGCGACGCTGCCGCAGTCGGATCCCATTGTCGGGTTTGTCGTGCGCACGCGCCGCTGCCGCACCTTTTCGTCTGCCATGGCGGCCGCAGCGGCGGCCGCGGTAGTGGCGGCTGGGGGCGCGCCGGGGCCGCCGGCAGCGGCGGCGGCGGCGGCCGCGGCTGCTGCTGCTGCGGCGGCGGGCGGGCAGGGGCAGCGGCAGCTGCAGGGGCTGCCTGGATCTACGTCGGGCAAGGAGCGGCCCGCATCGTTCTCAGGGGCCGTCAGCCTCCGCCGCAGCGGCGCCTGTGCAGGCAGAGCGGGCGGCTCAAGCAGCGGTGGCGGCGGCGGCGGCGGCGGCGAAGGCGCCGCGGCTGTGGGTGCGCCTGCGGCTGGGGCTGCGGCCTCCGCCGCCGCAAGCAGCCGGGAAGATGGCTGAGGCCGGGCTGGGGTGCGGGGGCCGCAGTGGCCCTCGGTCCTCGTGCTGCCAGTGCAACAACGGCATTACTTGAATCCTTGGCTGCCTTTCATTAACTGCCGTAGTCTATTGTGATTGTCATCTTTGTGCTTCGCACTGCGCGGCCAAACACCAGCTCCTGGTCACGCGGCAGCGCGACAGCAGCACGGCGCGCCTGCAACTATTTGACCCTGTGTCTGCAGGCCTGGTGCAGCCGGTGTATGACTCGATTTTCTGCCGCCCGTGAAGCCAGCAATGTACCTTTATACGCTCCTCTACAACCCACCTGATTCCCGGGTGCATTGCTGCATCACCCCTCTCTTTGCTGCCCTGCCCATCCTCCTGCTGACCTGGCATCCCTCCTGGTGGCCCTCCAGCCTGCGCTGTGTGAATAGGCGGCCAACATTAGTGCCCCTTCGCAACCAGCTAATCAATTGTGACTACACCTCAGCTCTTCTCTGCGCAACGGCGCCTGCTCATTTAATAAAGGACCCCCCTCAACAACTGTAACCTGACAACCTCTTTTGAACGCGCCACCGCCGCAGCAGTTGCAATTACATACGGTAATTGCTTGTTTGCAAATGGCACTGCAGGCATACAAGTTCATTGAGCAGTGCTGACAGTAAGTCTGTTTTGTCCTTGAGTTCCTTGTTTGTGAATGCAGGCAGCAATAATAACTGTGGTGCAAGTATAGGGGGGGTCGCTGCTGGGCGCAATCGCACGGCCATGCAGGAGATCACCTCGCCGCAAGGACGGGCTTGTGGTGGCAAGCACCGGCCAGCCGCCCCTCCCGCCCAGGGCGGTGCGTGCGTGTGCGCGCACCGGGCCCCGACCGCCACGTCAGCGCCCGCCGTTGGGCTTGTAGTATGCTGTGGGCGCGATGTCCTGCGCAATAAACTGCCCCTGCCCCGTCCGGCTGGCACGCGGGGGCGCCGCCTTCTGGCCGCGGCCGCGCCCGCCGGCCTCCAGGTCCCGCGCCCGCGTGCCGTCGTCGCCGCAGCACCGCGCGCAGCAGCTGCAGCACTTTGCCAGGATGTGGGAGAGGTTCACCAGGAACGCGGCCGCGAAGAAGCCGCAGCCGACCCAGCAGAGGATGATGATCCAGCCGCGGACCTCGGCTTGCGGCAGGGCGGCGACTGAGGGCTGCTTAAAGTAGAAGTTGAAGATCACGCCAGCCATGGCCCACCTGGCATGGGCGGGGTTCGCGCAGGCGGGTTGTTGGCGGCCGCAGCATGGCTGAATTAAGACGGGGACCACGAGGGAGGGCTCCGACTGCCGGCTGGACTCCGGTCTGCTGCACATGCACCCAGCCGCGCGCGGCCCGGGTGCGCCGGCGCCCCGACACAGCATGCCATGGCACCCCAAAGCCCCACCGCGGCCCGGCCCGCCGCTGTGGCCCTCACCACGCGGCGCCCGCCAGGGAGAACACTGTGTCCAGCACAGACCCGACGCCGCAGAGGTTGCAGGTGCAGCACAGCAGCAGCGACAGCGCCGCGGTGGCCGCGATGGACACGCCGCTGAACCCGTACGCGACGTAGCACAGGTTGACGCCCTTGTCGGTCTGGCCCAGCAGGCAGGTGTTAGTGACGTCGGCGTTGAAGTGGGCGACGTCGACGTTTAGGTTGACGCTTTGCATCTTGGACACCACCAGCGCGATGATGGCGCCCGCCACGGCCACCTGGGCGCGGGCCGCGCGGAGCGGGGTGGGGTGGGGTGGGTGTTGAGATGGGCGGAGAGGATGGCGAAGAGCAGGAGATGGCGGGAGGTTTTCCAGGGGGGGCAGACGGGGCAGGCTGGAAGATTGGGGTGCACAAAGCGGACCAACTGCGTCGTTTGCGCCTGCATACAGCTCTCGCGGTCTCTGGCTGCTGCCTAGGGCGCCGGTCTGCCCCGGACCCGCGGCGCCCGGCTGCATCGCCGCTTTGCAGCAGCTTTTTGCGGTCGTCACACACCTGGCCGACCATCAAGACGGATGTGAGCACATGGGAGCAGCCCATGGTGCCTGTAGCTGCGAGGCGCACGCCTGTAGCACCAGACGGGCTTGGATCAGGCTGTGCACGCGCCGCAGGTCGCCTAACAAGGAAGCTGAGCACGGAGGGCTGCTCTTGGTGGTGCTGGGTTTGATCTGCGGTTTAAGTTGCCGTAAAGCTGCTTCAATCGATGATTTTCTACCGGTAAGGCGCACCGCGGCGTGTGCTGGGTCGGTGAGAAATCCTTCAGTTGCCCCGCGTTTGACGTCGCTGTCCCTGAGATGCTGTAATGCTGAACGTGAGAAAATCAACGAAGATAGTGAGCGTGCATTCAGGCACGCGGCTATAACCTGGGTGCCGCCCATCGAGTGGGTCGTTCCATGCAGCTTCCGCCCCTCACACATCTTTGGCGGGTGTACGGCGGCCTTCCACAGCCCTCAACACAGCTACACCTTCCAGCAGGACCTGCTTGGTGAGGCCTGGTGATGATGCGGCCTACTGCGCAAGCTTTGCATCAAGCCAAGTCCGAGCCGAGCTGGGCTGGGCAAATCCGAGGTGATGCTCAAGCCTGTTGACGCCGGCTGTCTGTCAGCCCCTCACTAGGACCCAGGGAGAAAGACGATCAACAATCAACCATTACCATGGATGCGATGCAACCTGTACACACATGTGCTGTTGTGATGGCGCGTGACTGCACATAAACAGAGATGGGACAATCGCGCGGCCACAGGCGCGCCTGGGCCCGCCTAAGCGCCCTGCGCCGACCGAGGGACCAAGACACAAACACTGCCTCGGCGGCACAACTGATTGCGCCCGCCATCCGCGTCGCTTCTGTTATCATGAAAGAGTCGATCAGCCTGTTGCAATCCAACCGCTAACATCCCGCCCCAGCAGCTGCAGGCCCTCCGCTCTAGAAGTCGTCGTCTGACCAGATGTCGCTGCCGCCAGCAGAGTCAGGCTCCTGGAAAGGGACGGTGAGAGGGAGAGGGAGAGAGAGAGAGAGTGTGTGTGTGTGTGTTTTGGGGGGGGGGCACGCGCTCGCGCCATCGCCTAGGTGGGAGCCGGCAGGCAGGTCGGCAACGGCGCCGCCACCCCTGCGGGCCAGGTGCCATTGCGTTCCCGCCAGCGCCCCGGCCGTCCTCCCACCTTGCCCCGCGCACCCGACCATCCACCGGTCCGCCCACCCCTCAGCAGCCACCCCCGAGGCCGCCCCCA